AAGAAAGAAGGCGTAACTTTTATTCTCACTGTAGTATTGTTTTTTTTTATTTATTTATTTTTTTTTATTGAAGCTTTTTGACATTTACAGGGTTTAAACATAGTTGACACATCCGAGCTAATATAAATTGCCCAGGTGGCCATTCATTTGAATTCTCTGCAAAATAAACATTAAAATACAGTATTACCAAATACATTATTACAAGAAGAAAAAGCTTTTTGAATGCTGTTGAAAAAGCTTCGTATGGAATAAGACCTTTGATTGTGTTAATCCACTGTGCTATTGATGGAACTTGGTCTGTTATCCAGCATACAAGTATGCACTTGCGGGCACAGTGGAGGAAGATTTGAAGAAGGTAGGTCCCTTGGAATCTGGACGGGAGTTCCTGGCTCATGCCAAGCAAACAAGTCATTGGTCCTATTTGTAATGAGCAGCAAAACATTTTCTCAAGTTCCTTTAGGATGCCCGTCCAGAATTGTTGTATTTTCGAGCAACTCCAGAAACAGTGGATGAGGGTTCCTTCTAGACTTTTACATTTATTGCAGAGGTTGGAGAGTTTTTGGTTCACTTTATGTCTTTGGGCAGGAGTCACATGCAGACGATGAACAATTTTAAACTGCATTTCCCAGGCAAGAGTTATTGGCAAGATAGGAAGGCATCTCACATATGGCTTCTTTGTATCCACATTAAGCAGAGAAATAGGGCGATACGATCCGCACTCAGGGCATTTGCCTTTTTTTAGAAAAACACAAATGCTGGCTTCTGTCATGGAGCCAGGAAGCCTATTAGAATCAAATGAATACTGTATCATTTCATGCATTAAGCTCGCTAACTCAATTTTAAATTTCTGAAGGAATTCCACAGTAAACCCATTGGGCCCTGGTGCTTTTCCTTTGGGGAGACTGTTAATACAATTCTAAATTTCGCTGAGTTCAATTGGTTTGTTTAACGTCTGTCGTTGCTCCTCAGTTAATTCCCGTAAATTTAAGTTTGCAAGGAATTTATTCATATTATCACCCGAAGAAAAGCCCGATTGGGACGTGTAAAGCCTATTATAAAATGCCCTAAAAATTTTGTTAATTGCTTTGTTATCGTGATGGCACCTGCCTTCTTTATCTTTGATACTGGATATGACCTGCGCCTGAGAACGGCTCCGCAGTAAGTTTGCTAGATATTTGTTAGGTTTGTTAGTGAATTCGTACATCCGCTGTCTAGCAAAGAATACAGCTTTTTCAGCTTTATTAGTGAGAATTGTTTCGAGAGAGGTTTTTACTGTTTCTATCTCAGCCAGGAGTACATCTGAGGGGCGCGTATTATATTTTGTTTGTAAATCATGGAGGATCATTTCTAATTTTCTCTGGTTTGCCAGCTGTTTTTTTTTCTGGTTGGATACATAGGAGATAATTATTCCCATAATGTAAGCTTTTGCAGTGTCTCAAAGCAAATTGGGAGACACGTCTGGGGTTTTATTGTCAATAAGTAATAGTTTAACTTGCTCTTTGAGGAAAGATTCAAATTTTGGGTCATGAACGAGCCATGGTTTGAATTTCCAAGAAGCTGGGTTAAATATTTGGTTGGATAGGCCTAACCTGAGAAAAACGGGATTACAATATTCCCAATATTGCAATCTATTACATTTTGAAGTGAAGTTTTGGGAGAGAAAAAATAGTCTATTCTGCTTCCAGTTTTATGGACTCTAGAGAATGCTCTGTTCGAAGGCCTATCATTAGATGGTGGAGATTTATCCAGCTTTGGTAGCAGTGTACAGTTAAAATCACCAGCGATTTATACTGTGTTCACATTGCCATTCAGCGAACTTAGAAAAAACCAGTGTAATTATTTCGTTCGATTGAATAGGGGGGATATAAACATTCATAAGCGTAATGGGTTGTCCAGCTAGTGTAGCTTTAAGCAGGATAAACCGTCCTGATTTATCGGAGTATGTATTAATATCTGATAGTGGTATGCATTTGTTTACAAGAATGACAACTCCCCTACTTTTACTGGTGAATGACGAGCCATATACTTGTCCCACCCAGTCTCTCTTTAATTTGATGTGCTCACTGTCTGTTAGGTGCGTCTCCTGCAGAAATGCAATATGAATTTGTTCTTTTTTTAAATAGTTTAGAATCTTTTTCCTTTTTACTGGATTTTTAATGCCCTTTACATTCCAGCTGCATATGTTTAGTATTGATTTATTCATTACCATAACCAAGGAGTAATCGGTTTAAGTCTGATATACATGAAGGGTGTACCCATAAAAGTTGAATAAACGGTGATGCCATGTATAGTATTGAGGAGAAGGAAAGGAGAAAAAAAAAGAAAACAAAAAACAAAACAAAAAATATTTTTATGTTTGAAGAATTTTTCGCCGCCGTTGTGCTGTTGGCCTATTCGAAGAGTCGCTGGGTATATCATGGCAAAGCGAATTCCTCGTACGTGCAGCCCTAGTTTTAATGTTTTTGTCTCGTCGCTCCGGCCGGGACACGGCATCACAGTATGTTAGGGGCGTAACATTTCCGTCTCACGCTTGAGGTATTCGGCCAATCACAACGCATTGGATAGCTGGCCAATCAGAGCACACCTCACTTTTCAGACCGATGAGCTTTGTAAAAATCGACGCGTTTCAAAAAGGCGGGGCATAGAGGAGAAACAATAATGTACAGTATGTGGAAAATAATGTGTTTTTTTTTACTTTAAACCGCATAAACACATTTCATTACACCAAATACACAAAATAATGTTCTTTTTAGCAGCATCATATGACCCCTTTAATGTTTAATTACTGTATGTGAAGTGAGATTTTGGATCAGTGGAATTTTAAAATGGCCAGGGCTTCAGTGCAATGAACTAGAAACCAAACGATGAACAAAATGTCCTGTCTCTCATTGTGGTAGTGGCAGGTTAGGATACAGTGTGAAAATTTGTTTTGAAAAGTTGCGAAGAAATGTTCTTGGCTAATAAATCGGGAGCATGTTTGGGGATCAGCTGTTCGTTGCTGCACGTTTGAATCGGTCCTCATTCAGAAGTCTGAATGTGTGAGTGATGTGTGAACACGTGTGTTATTTGGCACCACCCTGTCAACATGTCTCAATGATAGATTGTGGACTTGATCTTTCTCTCACACACACATATTTGTTCTGCTTAAAAGGTGCATTTATTAGCAAATTGGACACTCACTGTCTCTCTTTTGCCGATGGCCAGTGCCGATCTCCCTTCCTCAGTGCCTGATCAAACATGTAGTGAGCTATATATATATATATATATATATATATATATATATATATATATATATAAAATAATTAATGTTAAATGTATAAACCTGGTTATTGTGTGTTTAATACATATTCGATTTATTAGTACTATTACACCAATCTCATTATTGGTTCATGTATGAAAAAATGCATCACATTCAATTTAGTAGTTTGCTAAAACTGTAATCCAATGAATGGTAATTTTATATGGCAATTAAAATACATAGGCTAATCAGTCTTAAATATTTCCTCTAAAGTTAAAGTTGTCTCAGCCAATGGAATTTCATAGGATCTTCCACAATATGAGGCTTGCAGCAGCTTCAGGAGGTTTATTTTCTGAACATTTTCTGTAAGGAATAACCTTTACAAACAAAAAGTTGATATTTCTGGCATTCCAGTGCCATAAATTCATCAAACTTATAGACAGATATTTCTCTCACGCACATTTACTTACAAATTAACATATGCAAGATGACAGCATACTTTCACACTTGCATAATTGCACATAAATGTGTTTTAATGTAGTATATCAAATGAAAGGTCATAGCGGCTGGAATACTTAGTAGGGCTGTCAAATGATCTTCGTGGATCTTCTCCCTTCATGTATTGAGCTATTTCAGCTGTTAATCTCTTAACAAGGTGCCTAAATAACTTAAGATTGAAAGGGCAAAATCTGACACTCGTGTTTTTTGATGTCTTAATTTAGCAGCCTAGACTGTATTAATTCAGTTTCTTGTGCAAATATTTGCCATTTTAAAAGTTTTCCATTTTTTTCAAGTTTTTTGTTGTTGTTGGAAAGTCAGGTGGGCTTCATTTGTTTACGGTATATTATTTTTTCTTATTTGATATTCCAGACTTTATGCAGATTTATGCACAATTATTTTAATTCTATGTATTTTGCAAATACGGTTGTCTTATTTACTCCATAATTTACAATGTTGGATCATTTGAAGGAGTCTGAACATAAGCCAAAGACCTATCCGTTACATGTAACTTCTCACTTTGTGTGTGTGTGTATGTGTGTACAGTGTTGATGAATGGAGGGACAGGTTTGAATGCAGAAGTGTGAGACACTTAAAGATCGGTGAAGACTGTGTGTGTTTACCCATGCATGTGTATGTGATTTCAAGTGTGCATCTGACAGAGGTGATGATGGCTGAAAGAGTTTTATTAATGGTCTGGGGGTTATTTTTAAATCTAGGACACGTAGTGTGTGAGTGTTTGAATGTGTCTGCATGTCTTCTGCTGAAACTTGAGAGATGTGCTCCTTACGCTTACGCTCAAAAGTGATCCACGTGAAGATTACATTTCATGAGCATGCTGTAGGTTGTTAAAAGCATAAATATGATTTTAAGACAGGAGTGAACATTCCAAACTTTTATGACGTTAAGCAAATATAAAAACATGTATTTAAACAAATAGTTACAGTTCAAAATGTTGGTGAAAATAGATTCATTTTTGTATATTAGACCAGAGCAAACTGAAATTTTGAATCCTTTATTTTGATCAGTTTGACATTAACATTTCTGTCATTTCTATCACAAGTTCCCAGCATTTCCACCATGGACACCTAGGGGATCAAGATTCCCCAGATGGGAAATCCTGCTTTATTATGCATGCGGGAGGTCCACATAAAATACATTTATTATAAATGTGCCCTCGTAATCTTTAAAGGGGTCATATAATGCGATTTCAAGTTTTCCTTTCTCTTTGGAGTGTTACAAGCTGATTGTGCATAGATAAGATCAAAAACAACAACTTGCTCTCACAACAACATATTTTCTCTGATTTGTGCACCAGCACTAAGGCAGTAATCTATCCCATCCAACAACCTGTCACTCACTTGAGATTGCAGCAATTAGCAAACAACGATCCAACCAATTCCAGATGAACAAAATCAAGTCCCGCCTTGCTGCTTTTTTTTTTCTCTCCAAGAAGTCCATTTGGAATTTAGAAAGTGGAGATGGCAGCAATATTTATTTAGACTTATAAGCACAGATATTATTAAGATGCCTGCAGATCTTTAGCTGTCACTAATATTATTGGTACGGATTTCATAATATAGTGTTACACCGATCTTTGTTTTGCACATTGTTTTGGAGTGTAGTAATGTTGCTGGATTGTGGATGGAGGCCCAAATTTTCAGAAACATTTTTTGTGCCCCTTTTCAATTATATAACCCTTACCAACTCTTCTGAGGTATTCTGAAACCTTTAGGGCCAGATTTACTAAAAGCTTACCAGCACACACCCTATTTTGCCGTTAAAAAACTATGTTCAGGATTTACTAAAGGCACGCAGTGAACAGGTATTTTTGAAACTGACCATATTGCATTTGTAGGAGTTTCCCATTTAGCCGTAAAATTTATGAGATGAGAGTATTTAAGTGAATCACCCAACGCTATTTACTAAGGTTGGTGCTAGTCAAGTACTGGTATTTGTGCCATAATTTAATGCCCCAAAAAGCATGTCTTAAATCAGACGGTAATTTGCGCTGCTCTTGGTAGTGAGTAGATCTACTAAGACCAATGGCATTGTCAGTAGATCAACCGCAGAGCCTTCCACTCCCATCTGTACTTTTATGGGATTCTGCTCTCACATTAATTTGCCCTGTTTGGTAAATCTGGCCCTTAGTGTTTACAGCTAAGATCCATAGTGGTCAGTTAGGAAAACAAACTCGTAGCTAATAATGTGTATATGTGGGATACACAGGAGGCTTATGATTAAAACTACCATCAGAACTACTTCTAAAAGGTGATAACCATTGTTCCCACCATGGAGAGAATGACCAGATGACGACAAACTACTGATCTCCTTAACTTTGATGCATCACCCACTGACATCCTTGTTCAATAACCAGGCTCCTCCCAGATATCTTTCCACCTCATCTGGTCTGCCACGAAGCCGGAACTGTGGGTGGAGCAGGGACCTAAGAAGACAAGCCGCAAGAGGAGTGAACGCCGCAAACTGTGGTGCCATATGGTGGACGTTTTCAGGCTGATCTGATCCTCTCTCCTGTGATGCTGAACCTTCCCAATTAGTCCATTGTAGATAGCTTTTATATGCAGTGTTGTCTGAAACTGTCTCAGACCATGGAAGGCTCCCCATGAGCATGGCATAGATTAGAATGCCTAATGCCCAGCTGTCTGTAGTGGGATCTACAGAAACCAACACCCTGTGAGTCTTTCCAGAGTCCCCTTTTTGCTTGTTCCCATTGTTGTCCACCCCCAAGTTGCCCAAATAGTTCTTTTCATTCTTCCTTGCCATCTCAGCCTCAGGTGTACAGTAAGGGGTGCCGTACCACACTAATGGTACCCTGGTGCCTTTAGCCTTCACCATGCCAAAATCACCAAGTTTGACCCAACGACACTCACGGTCACAAAGAAAGATGTTTTCTGGCTTGACATCACGATGGACAAAGCTATGGGAATGAAGATGAGAGAGGGCACCGCTGATCTGGGAAGCCACTCCCTGGGCACGGCTCTCTTCAAGACCAACCTGCGATGAAGAAATCAGTTTATGCCAGGGGTGTCCAGTCCTGCTCCTGGAGTGCCTGGAGTTTGGCTCCAACCTGCCCCAACACACTTGTCTGAAAGTTTCTAGTAATTCTAAAGACCTTGTTTAGCTGGTTGGGATGTGTTTTATTAGGACTTAACTCTGTAAGATTGTGGCCCTCCAGGATCAGGACTAGACAACACTGATTTAAGCACTAATCAATTTACTGAGCTTGCATCAACCTGTCATTGCAAAACAACTATTGTACCTATTATTTACAATACAATTTTGTGTTCTTTCATTGTTAATTTGAGCTAAACCAGTGATTCCCAACCTAAGGTGACCAGACGTGCCACTTCCCACAGTGCAAACAACCAACACCTGGTTATTTTAGGCAATTTAGAATCCTGTGCTGAATGTGTCCCCGGAAAGTGGCACGTCGGGTCACCTTATCCCAACCCTGGTACCCAACTGTACGCATTTTGTGTTTCCATAATCTAACACTCGTAGGCAATTTCGGTCCTAGAGAGCCTATAGCTGCGGTTTTCAACTCTGGCCCTTGAGGTCCACTTTTCCCTGCAGAGTTTAGCTCCAACCTTAATCAAACACACCTGAACAAGCTAATCAAGGTCTTCAGGATCAATTACAAGCAGGTAAGTTTGATCAAAGGTTGGAGCTAAACTCTGCAGGACAGCAGCTCTCTAGGACCGAACTTGCCTAACTCTGATCTAACCCAACAATTTCAGATCTTGGAGTCTCTACTAATGATCTGATGAGTTGAATCGGGTGTATTTGTTTAAGGAGACATTCAAAATTTGCAATAATGGGGTACAGGCTCAGAAGCCACTGATTCAAACCTGGGGTGTGTAATCCTGTTTCTTGAGGGCCAATATCCTGCAGCGTTTAGCTTTGATCCCAATTAAACACACCTGATCCAGCTAATCAAGGTCTTCAGTATTACTAGAAACATCCATGCAAGTGTATTGGGGCAGACTGGAGCTAAACTCTGCAGGACATTAGTCCTCAAGGAGCAGTCATCATTAAGAAGCATGAAACTGATGTCAAACTTTTACCAACCTCAGGAACGATGACATCATATAGGTTGCCATAAAGGCAAGGTTGCTGGGCGAACACATAGTGAGTAGGAGTGGAGAATGCGATGCCTAAAGCTGAGGTAAGTGAGGGGTGGGTACAGAAGACCAAAGACAGGTTATATTCCCTCAGAAAGGACAGTAGAGATGTGTCGTCTCGCAGAAAGAATTTAAGGGCCATTGAGGTTCCTAGATTCCATGAAGATTTGGAGGAATAATGGAGATATTGTCAAAGGGAAAGGAAGAAGGAAGCAGTATGCAATAATCTAGCACAATTCCCAGAAATGCGATCTAGCATGGATAAGATCAGAAGAGAGAAAGACAAAGCAACATAACTTACCACTCTTTTTGTGCACTGCTAATTTGACTTTTCCATATGAACCCTCTCCAAGAAGTTTAATAACTTGGAAGTGATCTAAAGGCTCCAATGATTTTAGAGACTGAGCCGTTAAGTGACAGAGCTCATCCAGAAGTCTTGTGGCAGTCTGTAAGAAGCAAAACTAGGATGTCAGGGTTGCAGATGGACGTGCCAAACATTCAACAGCTAATGTAATTTGAGGGAGAATTTGCATGCCTCGTTTTCCACTTTGTTTCAAAGACACTAAATTAGACGTTATTAGATGCAAAAAGTCTTATTTGGCATAGATCCCATGCTTTTTGTTGTTGTTTTCTACCTTTTTGGGGCATGTCAAACAAGGTTTCAGCTGTCAAATACCACAAAATACCATGTTTAAAGTAAACAGGATCTGGCTGGATCAAAGATATACTGCTGGGATCTGTCACTGCATACTATTATAAGGTTGCTACAGCAAAAGGGTGATTTGGGCCTCAGTTCTGAGGATTGGCTATTGTCAACATCTTAACTGTCCTCGGACAGCTGTGCTATTCAGCTGAGCTTCATAGGATTAAGTGTTCTGTTCAGTAATAGTATTGGTAACTGATCAACATTTATTCATGTAGCATGATTGAATGTAATGCCTAATTTGTATTTGAACTGGATGTAGTTTTCAGTATTTTTTTTTTAGTCTGTGTATGCTTTGGTGTCCCAAAAGCAGAAAGGTTACACTCTTTATTAAAGCAGCAGTTCAGGATGATGTGGGACAGTGTTGTATAAGAGGGATAAGGTGCACCTGTTGGGCATCAGTTGTGTGAGGACAGACAGCTCACCAGAAGTTGTGTGTGGTTAACCCCTTGTCAAGAACAGCGATTTGGGCAGCACATCTAAGTTATTTGGGATTAGTTGTGAATGTTGTAAATTGCTGAATTACATAACATGCTCTAAAAACCCTTTCAGGTATGTGCTTTGTAAAAGGTAATAAATAATTAGTTACAAATGTAGTCTGTCTTTGTGTTTTGCACTTTATAAACTTTGTGTTGATAAACTTCATAAAACCTTACTTTAAGCTCTTCTATAACTAAATAGGACTTCATACACTCACACACATACTGTGTATGTATGTATATATATATATATATATATATATATATATATATGGGATAGCTGGCCAATCACAGCACACCTCGCTTTTTCAAACCGATGAACTTTGTAAAAATCGACGCGTTTCAAAAAGGCGGGGCATAGAGGAGAAACAATAATGTACAGTATGTGGAAAATGTGTTTTTTTTTTTTTTTTACTTTAAACCGCATAAACACATTTCATTACACCAAATACACAACATAAGGTTCTTTTTAGCAGCATCATATCACCCCTTTAAAACAACTGTATGTAGTTTTGGTATTTTTGTGATCTTAGAGCCCCCTACAGTTAAATGAGTGGAACTCACTGTCGTAATTACAGCGGACAGCAGTGCATTTGTTGCTGCCGTAAAGCAATCCGCCTTTTTTGCGGAATTTTGTACCCGCTTACCATAACATACACGCAGAACAGTGGAGAGCATGAGAAAGACACAGAAGTCATTCGTCTTATAAGTAAGTGTACTGTCAGAATGATTATGAAACTGATATTTCAAGGTTAAAAAACAAACAAACACATGCATAGAGTTGCTTTAACCACCGTTTTGTTTAAGTGCCAACCGTACCTAAAGTCTTAACTGAATAATTCAAATTTTAAGTTATGTTGTTCAACTAGGATGTTGATTCAGGATTTGTTGGCGAAATTACTGACCTTAAAAATAGAGAAATAAATAAGAGTGCCCATTTAATTATACGCCACATTAACCACAGTAAAAGGGTTGTAAGCGACACCTATTGGTCATTATTAGCAACTGCCTGCAGCTGATTTTTGCATTCAAACTCACTTATTGAAATAATACACTTAATATTTTTTATAAAGTGCTATTTTCTCATTCACTCTATATATAAAAAATCCTTCATTGTAAACAAATAACTGTTCAATAAATATTAAATACATAACTTAATCAATAATTAATAAAATAAAAACAACATGCATACATAGGAAACGTTAACCGGAGAACACTGTCAAAATGGAGGATGACTTACAAAGGCTGGAACGTTCATTCCATCCTATCAAACATTAAGGCAAGTCAGGCATCATGGAGATAAGCTGAGGGCTACTGGTGTCATATGATGGTGTTGATCACTGTTGTCTGTGTTTCAGGTCTCCCAGTGCTCTAGTGTACCAGTTGCAAAAGTAGTACAGTTTGTCAAGAATCTCCACATTGGCCTGGTACACGTTCCAAGCTGTGTTCAAAGGCGACAGGGAAGGGTAGACCAGCTCAGAGGGTGTCGTCCCAATCTGTAAGAAGGTTTAGAAGATTTCTGTTAAAAGAATAATCTATTCCGTGCGTTCCCATCTATTATTAAACAGATTAAAAAATTTCAATATATTGCTAATTTAAATTTCAAAATATATTTAATTGTTTTTTTATTTTCCTCATATATAGTTTTCATACCCTCATATATTTGGGCCATTTTTAAATATTTGTAATCTAAATACATTTATATTGTCAAATATATATATAATATAGTATATATATAAATTCTATTTTAAATATAATATATTTTAAAACTGAAATGTATTTTCTTGCTACTTGAAGTACATTTTGTAATAAGTTTTGGCATTTGAATGTTTAAATCAAATATTTTTTCAGTAAAAAGTTATCTGTCTGTCTTTCTGTCTGTCTGTGTTCGTTGTGTAAACCGTGATACTTTATTTTCAGAAATGATGAATAGAAAATTCAAAAGAACAGCAATTATTTAAAACGGAATAGAATTTTTGGTGCAAAATAAGTCTTTCACTTTCTTGCTTTAGCATGTATCTTACTATAGGTCTGGTTTATTTGATAAAGCATCATGACAAATTTATTACATCCATTTTAACAGCTTTTAAGATATTTAAATATTGTTTGATTTCCTCCTGTAGTTGAGTTCAATGGTTCTTACCTGTATGAGCACCATGTGGCTGATGACTTGGATACGATGAGCGAGTTTCTTTGTCTTAGAATAATCACTCCCCATTTCTTCTTGTTTTTGCTGGATCCAGTCAAGATGGAACTTGAAGGATTTAAGGCCAGAGTACAGCTGTCCTAATGTACTGTTCACCTGTGGGTCAGAAGGAGCCAGACTCCGAGGTTACACACTATTCACATTTAATTCTATCTGTCTATCGATCTATCAATCTATCGTTCTATCTATCGTTCTATCATTCTATCGTTCTATCTATCTTTTCATTGTTCTATCGTTCTATCTTATCAAACTTGTGGCACTTGTATAAATTTCTTGGTATTTTTGTTCCAGTCTGGCCTTTTGGTTTGGAGAAGATAAACTTTATTTTGGGGTTATCAGTGAACAGTCTGGTCACAATTTTGGATCTTAGTCATAAAAATATTTTGTCAAAAAGAAAGTCTAGATGCTTGAAACACAGACATGGTAAAGAAAAACAGGCAGAGATGTGGATGTTCTACCTCGAGTGTTTTCAGGTCTGCTCTTCTGTAGTTCAGTGAGGGCAGGGATGTGAGTGATTGCTCAAAGTTTTTCATCTCATTCTGAAAAATGTCAAGGATTTTATTAGACAAACAATAAGTTTATTTAGCTAAACGTAAATGTTATTCTGCATTGGACATTTACTCCTAAAATGAATTAGAAAACCATTTACTGGTACTTACCCCATGCCTTTCTTGAGATACTACTTTCATCAGCGTACGCATATCTTGATACAGCATCTGCAGACCCTTTTTTCCATGCGGTATATTAGCAGGACGGGCTGTGATGAAGGCAAAGAGCTCAACACAAGTCATCAAGACGATGAGGGGAAAGGTGGAGTCAGGTGACACTGTCAGCATAAAAACAAGCAGGATTTCTTATTGTCATTGGAACAGCTGCTCTGAGTCACAAGTGTTTCAGTGTGTGTGCCAAACAGCTGTTTTACTCTATAAAAACTTGTATCTAAGCAGAGGGATTTGCACAGAGAGCTCTTCCTTTTGGTTTGTAATGGTTACACCAGATGGGATGATTTAGAGAAGGATTTCGTGCCACAGGAATTTCCAAGGCATGTAGGACACACATTTGTAACAGTTGCTGGGTTTGTGATCAGTTTCACACTGAATGCGCAAAATTGAGAGAGGTGCTGTTTGGATGAAAGGATGTGCGTCAGCATTTTTCCGGATGTAGTGTTTGTTTTGTATGGTGGCATGCCTAAGTTTTGATGCACACTTGTTTAGCCTGAGCTCAATAAACAAGATCATACAATCTCACCAAACCGGTAAAACTGGTGGAAATGAAAGCAAAGGATTGCAAAATCCAGGAATTTCCAGTTCAGAGTTCTTTCAGGAAATCTGTATTCCTGATTTCACATATTAGTGAATGAGACTTGTATAATCTTCTACTCGTCTATTTAAATAATATCCTAAAATTTCTCTTGTCAACCTGTCTATTTATTTACTTATTTATCTGATTAAAATGCATAGTAAGAATATATACACATTTACAAAAATTTTTTGAGGAGCATTTAATACATTACATGACCATTACAGTGAAAATTAATATATTAGGCCTAATGCAGTTCTTTCTTTTACCCTCTAATAATTGGCCCGTTTGATGTTTGTGCCAGTCTTTAACCACAGCAAACTCAAATAAGCCATGACCAAAGTCTGTGTGAAGGTCGTAGGCCTTCAAATACATGCAGCAGATATGTGATAACTGTGTGATTTAACCCTGTGATAAGCATTAAAAGGAAATTAATGGCTATTTACGCAATTAGCATCCTTTGAAACCTTTCTAAATGGAGAAATTGTTCAGGTCACAGATAACCATTGCGTGCAACCCCTGCAGATGGCATGATGTGGCATGGTGGCGATCCCCATCAAAACCGTTGTAGGCATGCAAAGATCAGATTGACTCAATTAGCTGTGCGACCAGCTGTTGACTCACTTGCAGACATCCTCAGTTTGCACTTGTGGAAAATGATTTTTACACTGATAGCATCTTTTTGCTAATGTCAACACAATTTTGAAAAAGCACTGCTGTAATATTGTTGAAATGAACTCATTACTGATGCGCCGAATCAATACATGTGCATATAAGTGTAAGTTATCATGCAAAAGCAGTGTAAGCATGTTTACAGAATGAGGTTACAACTCAACCCTGCAGCAGCTTTATGAAACCCTAAAATCTCAACCTTGAATCAGTATTATTTTATAGTATTATCTATATAGTATTATAGAGTATAACTGAAATCCGATTTAGGTTTTTTTTCCTTTCAGTTTTTCACTTGTAGTTTTGAATAATTTTAAGTTACATTAAAATTTTAGTAATTTGATATTACTTTTAAGTAGATTTTTTGACCCTTGACCTTAATGTGACCTGTTATCAAGCGCATAATCGTGATTTGGAGAACCAAAGAAACTCGTAATTTAAGCATTGAAAAACCTAATCTGAATGTTAAGTGTCATTGTGGTTATAACCCTGACTTTCATAATGATAATAAACAAATAACTTAAAGCATTTCCTTAAAGTTGAACACAATGCATTACATTTGTAAATATTTTTTTGTCATAAAAATGACACAATACCATCACTAACATCAGTTGAATTATCTTGAGGTTAACAAGCCAGACTGCTGTACTAGATTTAGTGGTTATTTTGGTTTCTATTCTGAAAAGACATTTCAAACAAAATTCATAGACAGCAAAAACACCCACACTATAGACCCACCCTCTACAATTTCCATGTTTTCCCTCACTAAACCACATTCCCATGCCTGTGCTGTAAAGCTGATGTAAAGAATGATAAAAGTACTTACATTTCATGGTAATCCCAAAAACACAAGTAGTAAACAGTGTACAAAATTATCACTCTACTAACATTTGGACTAGTGAAAGGGTTCTCCTTTATAGTATGGGACATGACACACAACTCTGAGTCATTCACATTCAGGAAAAAAAAGTAGACCTACACACCCCCTCTCACTAAACATATCTTTTTTCTGAAGAGCTCAACAGTTTTTGCTATTTCCGCCAACTTGATGTCTCAAGACCCTTATGTTCCTAATTTTGGGTTTCTATTTTGGGGTGGTCTTTGTGCCTCGTAATAAACAATCTTATGTTAAGCATCTCTGGTAATGTATGTAGAAGACTCTATATCCAAGAGATGATGTTTTTATCTCCAAATCTGATACTTACTACTTTGTTTGCAAGATTAGGCAGGTTATCTTTTATATATACATGCGATATATACATACAAGACTACAGTCGTATCAGATTACAGTTCACCATAGGGAAATGCCACAGAGATGATGGACTGAGATGAGACGCTACTTTGTTTTTTTTTAGACAAATTAGGTGCAATTCACGACGGAACATAGTCATAATACACTCACACACTAATCTACTGTAGAAGATCTGAAGCCCCCCAACCCACGTCTACCCACTGAGCATTTTCCCCACATTCGTCCGCTTGGCCTCCTCTGACACATCGCGCTGTTATTTCCACTCAGACATC